TGTGTGTGTGTGTGTGAACCAGGTTTTTATATCCTTGCAGGGACCTATTTCTGTCTACGTTATGGGGTTTTTGAGACCACTGCTTTTCATGGGGACATTTCTTGGTCGCTATGTGGGGAAATGCTGATTTTGGGTTAGGGGTTAGGTATGTGATGGCTAGGGTTACAATAAGGGTAATGATAAAGGTTAGGCTGTGGGAAATTAATGCAAGTCAATGTAAAGTCCTCACAAGTCATGAAAACACTACTGTGTGTGTGATAAATAATTTAAATATGACTAAATATAAAATAAATAGATTGAAGTCAAGTTTATTTCAGTAACAAAGCAGTTCAAAGTGCTTTATATAATGTGAACATAATACAGTCACCAATTAAGAAACATGCAATAAATATTACATTTTGTCAAATGTCATCAGAAAAATCATGAATACACATCAAATTCATTGATTAATGTTCCATTTATCAAAGGTAGTTGTAAACAGGTGAGATTTTAGCCTTCATTTAATGAAACTCGGTGTTTCGACAGTTTTGCAGTTTTCTGGAAGTTTGTTCCAGATTTGTGGTGCATAGAAGCTCAATGCTGCTTCTCCATGTTTGGTTCTGTTTGGTTCATAACTAAGCCCAACTTAGGGTGACCAAGAACTTCCTAAATGATAGTTTATAAAGAAGAAAGAACACTTTAAAATAAATTTAAATGCTTTTTCAACTTAAAAATAAAAAGAATTTCAGGTTACTTTGAATTTACTTTTGATTAGAAACCAAAAGTTGTAATAATTCAAAATCTTTATAGTTATGTTTAAAAATGTACTAGTCAACCAGCCAGAGATCATAATTGGCCTTTTTTCACCCTGCTGATTGGCTCCGATTAGTCATAACACTGAAAAATTAAACTTTTCCCCCTACATTCAAACTAAAAACGTCCAATATTTCCAACCTACAGAAAGAACAGCATTTTCTTTTAAGTTTAACAGTGGGACAAGACACTAGCTGGTATAGCTTGTATTTCTATTTTTTGTGGTAAAAAATAAATGAGCTGAAATTTAAGTGTGATTTATTTGTTTTTACTTAAAAAATAATGAAACATAAAATTAACGATGACAGAAAAAACTTTTTTTGTTGAATTTGGCAGTTAAACAAAATTTAATTAAATTTAATTTAACATTTCTACTAAACTAATTATGACCAAAAGTAAAATAATTGTATTACTGTTTATTACTATCCACAGTATTTTTGATATAACCAGCTACTTACTTTCTTTTTAGTTGTCATCCTTGGTTTCTGATGAGAAATATTCAAATATAAGCGACATACCAGTGAGGTGAGAAATTTTTTTTATCTGGAGAGAAAAAATGTAAAACTAACGCTCAAATTACAAGCAGGAAAAACAGATTGAATAAAGTAATGTTTTTGCTGATTGCATAGCGGAAGTCTGCGTGTTTGGGAACAATTATTCCAGAACGATTGTTGTTGCTTTTGCTCCGATGCTTTTTGACAGTTGATATGATCCGTAACCGTGGCTACAAGGTATTATTTTTACAACTGGGAGCAGCTGATTAGCATCTCAAAAGCTTAAATACCTGAACTGAGAGCAGCGAGAGAGAGGAGGAAGTTCATACCATCTCTTACATTCATCGTACTTCCTCTTCATGAGAATGTCTTGGGACAGCAGAGTGTCTTCAGTCAGAGGCTTCTTGAAATTCACTTTAATGCAGACTGCTACAGGAGATCTTTCCTACAGTCATTGGCAGGAAAGATCAATATGTTTTAACTCATATTAATTTGCACTAATATGAGTTATAACAACATTTCAATAAAGTATTTCTGAGTTTGAATTTGAAATGGGACCAATCAGATCCCCTACTCCAACATCTCTAACCACACAGCCAGACAGACATTTAAACCAAAGTGGCAAAAACAAAAGAGGTGGATTAGCAGTGCTACCCAACAACTAATGGTATCATCCCGGACATGTTACTCTTCAGTCAGAAGCTTCTTTAGATTCACTGCTACACTGACTGCTATTGGAGATCGTTCCAGATGACTATTTGGGGATGCCTGTTTGAGTTAGGACAACATTTAATTACCCTTTGAGTATTTTTTAATTGAATTAAAAGATGTGAGACATTATTTATAATAGTGTAATTTATTAAAACAATTTATTTGTGTATTTCAATTGTATCAAAAACATTTAAAAAACAAATACGAGGTTTAAATCAGCCGCATGGTGACACAATAATGCTCAAGTCATAACAGTTTGATCGAAAATAAAAATGTGCTTAAATAAGTTAAAATCAATGAAGAGAAACCACTATTTCCATAAAATCATGAAATATCAGGAAGTTATCCTTCCTAATTTTGGTTGTTTCCAAAATCAAGTTCAAACCACTGGAAGTGGGGATGGAAATAATCTGGATCTCTTAAGATTTTCTGTGTAGATAAATAAGGTAAACAAACAAACATCTTTCATCATCTGTAGTGGTTTTCCACCTGCATCCAAACCACCGGCTTCATGAACTTCACTGTCACAATAAGCAATAAATAAATTAATCGCATGATAAATTAAGACAGGCTCATTAATTTCCAATTGCATGTTTCTATCTTTCTACCAAAAACTGGATGATAAAACTCTTCAGTCTGGTGCTTTGGTCTCAACTAGCTCCATCTTTTGAAGGACACTTTTGTTTACAGAGATTCCATAATTCAGTTTATTAGTTGTTTCTGTTGTTTCGTTTATTTATTTTGAATATTTAAAATGTCTTCCTTTTCCGCTGTTATACACACATTAGATTTTAAAGCTTGTTGATCTTCCAATGTTAATTATGTCATTATTACCATTTATATTACTTCAAAATTATCTCAAAACGACAATATTATTATTTATCGCAATAACTTCTGGGACAATTTATCATCCAGCAAAATTTGTCATGGTGACAGGCCTAGTGATGCATCAACAAACATTCAGCCTTGTTGAATGCAACCCTAGCTGGTAACATATTGCTGCAGCATCTGAGTTTCATGTAAGGCTGGGGCTGTAGGGTGAACAATCATGTGATTTGCTGGAAGAACCCCCCCACCTCTCCACCCACCCTCCACCCTCGCAGGCCTGCCCCTGACTGGCCTCTGCTAAGGCTGTATTTCCAGGAAAAGGGGCCTACAGGACCGGACCGGCTGTGAGGCCTAGGCAGGGAGACATTGGCTCATTGAGAAAAACAAAAACAGAGAGGGGCGGTGGGAACTCTTACATAACCCGGCCTCCATGACGGGCAGCCACAGAGACAGAGAGGGTACAAGAGAAAGAGAAGTTCCTCGTCTCGATGCGAGGAGGAAAACCTGTCCGTCCACCTTCCCTTGTAAAGACAGAATCCCTTTGAGGCTGGAATTCAGCTCAATGTTGCTCAATGTTTGCTGCTCCTCTGCAGCATTTGTGCAACAGCAGCACGTCTGGAATAAAACCCAAATATAACAGCCGCTGCCTGCTATGTTGGACAAAGAAGAGCCACCGCTTCTGTCACAACACACAAACATGCCCTTTAATCCCCTGGGTTGGTTGTAAACTGTGTTTAGATGTCAATGGCATCTCCCTGTGGTGCTCTGCACTGCCTCCTTGTGGGCAAAAACGGAAACAACTCTGAAAGTCTACAAAAATATTCCCTCAAGAAGATATTTAAATGTAAATATCTTATTTTTAATACCACTCGACTTCCAGGGCACCATTTAAAAACACAGTATGTAACTTTTATTAAAAAAAGTTGTCAACATATTTATTAAAACTGTTGTGACAGTATAACATAAGAGAAATAATAGGTGAAAAAGATCAATCTCCTCCACCTTTTCCCTGAGCTACTATTGCAGTCTGAAGAAATGTACCAAAAACAACCAATCAGAAACAGGAGGAGTGTCTTAGTACTATCAATCAACCTCAAGTAGTCGCTGCTAAATGAGCTGATGGTAGAGAAACAACTCACTGTTACAGGTAAGCTGTTTATCTGCCAGCTATGCTAACTAGCCTTAGCATTCACAACAGGCTATGCTAGCTGCAGCACAGCAGAAACCAAAAGTGGCAGAAAGAGGGATGACTGACCTTGCTAAGATCCGCTTCCTAGCTCTGATTGGTTGTTTATATTTAGCAATGGGAGAAGACATAGGTTATCTGTCTTATTACTGCCACAACATGATGGCACCTTTAACAAATATGTAAAAAAATATATTTATATTTTGTTTTATAAAAGTTGCGTACTGCACCTTTAATGAACGCAATATCTTGTTGATTTTCCTGTTTGTTCATCAGATTAAAATGGAACATAGGCAGCAAGATTCTCCACTAAAACCTTCAAGTTATTATAATATTCTTCTTTTTTAAAGAATGAAGTGAATAACACTGTTCCTATTGCTAGAATGCAGAATGTGCTGAAAAACATCAAACTCTGTCGTTTTCCAAATTTTGTCATTTTTCAACCACAATGTTTTTTATTCAGATTTTATATGTTACACTGCAAAAACAGAAAGTATTACCAAATATTTGTATCCAGTTTCTAGTGCAAATATATTATGACACTTGAAAAAAGGCTAAACTAACTTGCAAATAACTTTTCAGCAAGAAATAGATTGTTTTAAGTAAATAAGTCCTTAATATAGATGGAAAAAGTATGAGATTAATTGCAGAATGTTCCACTTATAATACAGGAAATATGTGTTGTTATAAGTGAAATATGCTGCGAGTGCCAATATTAAGGAATTATGGATTTAAAACAAGCTCCTATATCTTGCTGAAAAGCTACAAGTTAGTTTTGTCTTATTTCAAGTGAACTAAGATATTTGTTCTAAAAACTGGAAAAAATACTTGGAAAGATTTTGTGTTTTTCAGAAATGCAAAGTGAAAGGGAAATGATGCATAGTTTTTTTAAAATTTTTGTTTAAAATCTGAAAAGTGTTATGTGCACAAGTATTCCTCTTTTACAATGGCCGACATCTTTTAAGATGCTTCTATTTCCTGTGATTGAAGCATTTTTCTGCTGCATTTTGTTTTTGTGCGTTTTGGAGTTTATATACATCATGTTTACAGCGAGTTTTAGCATTTGCTCAAGTCGATAACCATATCCTTTTTACCTGATTCAAATTCCTGACAACTAATTTCCTCCTAAAGTTGCTAGTAAACAGTCATATCATATCAAATTGTCATCCTGATTTATATAAATCCAGCTGTTCTTTGAAGCCCTTAGAGGTTTAATATTGAAATAAATAAAGTACAAATAAACATGTTTTAGAATGGACCTGACTGTAATCCAACTGAGAATATTCCCCTAGATTTAAAAGTGGATCTTAACAGTTGCCATTTTGAAATAACTTTCCTTCAACTTCACAATACAGGCCCAATTTGCATAAAATCTGAATAAATACATTGAAGTTTTAGGTTGTAATGTGACAAAATGTGGAGAAGTCCAAAAAGTTGAGATTAATTTTGGAAAGTGCAACATAGTGAGTGTTAGCGACGCGCTAGCACAACATGCTAAGGTGTCCTGTGTCCATGCTCTGTTTTGCACTGAAAAACTTAAAAACTGACTCTCCTTCAGCTTTCTAACATGTCACAATGAAGATAAAAACAACATGAAACAGATTATACATTACAGATTATTAAAAATACTTTAGCACCATCCAACCGGTCAGAGTTGGACCCGGTTCTGGGTTGACCGATGATCCAGTTTAAGCTACGCTTGGCTCAGGAGTCAAACTCCGGCTGCTCCGGTATCAGGATGGTTGAGTCGTTTTCTCTCCTGGAGCTCGGATCCAGCCAGGACACACCCAGCGCTATCAGACACAGCCACACCTGCAGCACAGCGACACGCACAGGTCAAAGGTCAGATCAGTCAAATGAGGAAAGGATGAAATGTTTTCGCTGGTTTGTTGGGATTATTTAAATATTCTGCCACACGCTCTTGAAAAAAGATCCAAAATCAGATGAATCTGAAGAAACTCATCTCACTGAGTTTAAGCTCACTTTAAATAAATGTATCACTGGACTTGTTTTTGTTTTTTAGTTTATCTTTTTATTACATTTTTACAGTTTGAACTCACTGAACTGCTCATGTGACTGTTTTATGATGCTGTGAAAAAAATCTAAAACACATCATATATACTTAGTCATCAAAAGCACATAAAATATAAATATCTACAACAAACACAAATATCTATCTATCTATCTATCTATCTATCTATCTATCTATCTATCTATCTATCTATCTATCTATCTATCTATCTATCTATCTATCTAATAATTTTTCAACTGCATATATAAAATGTATATATCAAGTGGAATTTCACTGCAAGGCTCCAACAATAATAAATAAATAAAATAATAAATATAAACATGAAAACTAGTTAAAATAAATACGTAAACAGATAATTAATAAAAAGTATCAATATAAATGTATACAACAAATACAAATATATATAAGAAAATAATATATATATATATATATATTTGCTGTAAATGTTTCTATGCAAAAAATTTTTTTCTCAACATTAAATAATTTTAGTTATTTACAGAACATCAATGACATAGAAACATTAATAACTACTAAAAAGAAACAGAAAAGATATTTGAATTTGAAAATAAAAAAAAGATTTTAAAGTTGATTAACACAAAATAATTGTTTTTGACTGAATTAAATGTGCTTTCTTGATGCAAAACAACTAAAACAAATTTTATTGCTAACAATATGAATCAATTTATCTCTGAAGGTTGATCAGAATACTTAAAATATTCTGAATTAACATTTTATAGTTGCAGAAAGGTCAAAGAGTCAAGCTGATCTCACCAAGTAGCCCACGAACGTGAGGTACGCCAGGGAGAGGAAGGCAGCAAGGACATAGAGCCACACGCTGTTCAGTGCCGTCACGTACACCACCACGAAGTACATGTTGATGGCGCACACGCACAGGATCACCAGACCTCCCATGATCTTAAACGTCCTGCAGAGAGACGCGCGTGCTGAGCAGGAAGTGGAGCTGGAAGTGATTCAACGGTGGCGGTACCAGTCCACTTACAGCCCGTTGGCGAAGTCGTTCATCAGAGACGGCAGACTGGTGAAGGTGAGGATGGGGATGAGGGCGAACGGCAGCTGGGAGAGAAGAAATCTGGAGTGAGTGTTTGTTAGTTTACATCAGGGGGGATCAAAGTGTGGTCAGAGGGCCATTTGAGGCTCGTGAATTAATTTCACGCGGCCCCTCACAACAAAACAAAACCCTGGTTGCAGTGTTAGTTTTATATACTTTGTTTCTTTCCTCAAGTGGATGCAGGTGAAGCAGTTTGAGTCTCACCTGCATGCTCTGGAGCACGTTGAGGAAGTCGTTCATGCCCGTCAGGTGCTGCACGTCCTTAAAAATGGCCACCAGCAGCGTGGGAGTGATGGCGAGGGAGCGGGTCAGCAAAACCCGAGCAAAACGCGACCAACGCAGGTTCAGGAAGCCCTGAGAAACAGGAATCACCCAGCAGCTTCAGATGGTAAATTACTCACAAGATTACTGAAGCAAATTATAAAATAACTTTTATAAACAACAGAAAAACAGAAATAACAAATAACATGAATTAAGTGAAACAAAGTTGCCTTCAAAAAAAGGTCAACTTTAGACCAAAACACAAGACTGAAGACTTTTAACATCCGATTTTTGGTAGAAAGAGAGAGAAAAAAGAAAAACGATAAATCATACAAATGGATATTATTGAGTTCGTCTTCATTTATCATGTGATTAATTTATTTATTGATTATTGGCTCAGCCAAGCATCTGATCTTGTAGCTCCAACTGACCTCCATGACAAACTGGCCAGAGTAGGTTCCAGTCATGGTGGAGCTCTGACCGGCTGCAAGAATCCCGACGGCCCATATGTAGAGCGCCGCAGGCCCGAAGAAGCAGCCCAGAACCACTCCCTGTTACGATGAAACCAAACCGTCACACAAACTGACACAACTCACCACACAGGACCCGGTTCACTGAAAAAAAAATGACAAACGAACCCCTTTATAAATGTCAACCTCCAGAGTTTTGTTGTCCAGAGGGAAGAGGTTGGAGTGAGGAATGCTCGACTGGTTGCAGACGTTATACTGAAACCAAACAACGAAAACATTCCAGAGAACATCTGGATATGAAGCAGCTGTTGTACGATGAGAACATCTGCAGGAATACTCACCACCTCGATGTTTGAGCGCTGGTAGAACGCCTCAGCAAAGATGGCAACCACAAACACGTTGATGAGGAACGAGACAAACAGAGCAATGGCCGACTCGATGAAGAAGTACTTGTTAGCCTCTTTTATTTCTTTCTTCTTCGAGCGATCCACTTCCCGAGACTTTAAAGCAGATATGGAGACTCACTAGCTGCGTTTCTATCACAAATGTGCACAAAACTGTCAATATTCCTAGGAAAAAATGCAATTTTGCAATTGCGGTGTTTCCATTAAATAAGGAACGCAATTAAAATCCAATGACAGAGTATCAAGGCTGTTGTAAAAATTGTTTAATTTTTCAAAACTGCAATGGAATTTTTTTTTTTTTTGCATCACACAATTCACATAATCAACAACCAGATGTTTCCACTGGCACAATTCATGTGTCCGACGGCGTATCAGGAAGTAAGTAGAAAAACAAAAGTACGTTTCAGAGAAAAAACTTATAAAATTGCGAGATTCCTCCCAGAAATTTTCTAGAAAAAAAAAAGAAACTCAGAAATTTCCAAGTCTGAAAAATCAAAAAATTGCGAGAAAACACCTAGAAATTCTGAGATTAATATCAATCAATAAAATAAAGTTTATTTGTATTGCCCCTTTCAGCAACATGGCAGTTGAACATCATAAAAACACAGAAATACAAAGTCATAGAGGAACCACACAGGCAACAGTTGAGAAAACAATGAAACATTACATTTGGTCATTTATTAAGGTTTGAAAATATCAGACATTTTCAAAGAAAAAAATCTCAGAGTTTCTTCTGAAAAAATTCTGAGGATAATCCCAGAATTTTTGAATTTTTCCTTGTAAACTTACTCCTCCAGTTTTTTTCTATCTACAATGACCCTAATACTCTGTCGCACACATGAATATGTTTGTTCACGTATTAAGTCATTAAAGACAAGCTGCGCCATCATCCTCCACCTACTTCCTGTCATCTTCTTCTTTGTGGTTTGCACCAATGGAAACATCTGGTTGCTGATCATGTGATTTGTGTGATGCAAAGAAAGTGTTTCCGTTGCAGTTTTACAAAATAAACCAATTTCATCGTAATGCCAAAACTTTTTATCAAAACACACAACAATTGGCATCTTTCCATTTATTTTTTAAATGTCAAATTGTGCCATTATGTGGTCAATGGAAACACAGCTGGTGTTTACAGGTTTCGTTTCGCTTTACTTTAGCCGGTGTCTGACCTTCACCAGAGCGGAGTGGAGGTAAATGTTATGAGGCATGATGACGGCGCCCACCACGCCGACGGCCTGGGTGAGCTGAACCGGCCCGCAGCCTTCGCAGTACGGCACAAACATCCCCTTCAGCAGCTGGCCTTGGTCAGGAGCCACCATCACGTACTGCAACACAGCAGCTGCATCAACTTTACAGGTGTAGGAATACTTCTGATGTTTACATTAACAGAATGGCATAATCAGGCATAAAATGGTGAAAAAAATCAGAAGAATGAGGCAGATTAGTGGTAATGATGCTGATGTTGAGTCGTTGAACTCGCATCTCAGTGACAGAAAATTCTTTAGGAAACTATAATGTAAACAATGGAGTCCCAATTTCAGATCCCAGAATTTTATGAAATGCAGACACACAGCATTAACGTTCACTTCTACGCTGATGACACACAGTTGCATACGTGATGTGAATAACGGTGTTGAATTAAAGTGTTTTAAATTGTTTTCCAGTTAAAAATAACCTAAAGAGAAACAATCAAACACACAGCTTCAGTTACTTAAACTACAAACTACTGATCAGATCCAAAATCCTGGTGTAGTGATGGACTCCGAACCTTCAGAGTCACATAAAGACAGTTACCAAGTCGGCCTTCTATCACCTGAAGAACATTTCCAGGATTAAAAGACTCATGTCTGTAAGATCTAGAGAAACTCACATTCTCACAAATCAAAATCTCTTATTCAAGAGATGCCTAATTTATTTGCAGATTCGCTTAAAGTTAGTTTTACCTAGTTATTTTTTTGCTTCCTAGATATTGAATCTTACATATTTCCTACCTGAAAATACAGTATTTACATTTTAAAAAATGATTGTCATTAACTGGAATTAGGACTAGTCAGGAAAAAGTAGTAAAAATTATTGTACTTTGGTGTTGATTGGATGAGAATGATCAAACTTTAAATCCACCAAGATGATGATCAGCTACAGAAAACAAGAAAACTAAACGTATGTTTTGCACATTTATTCCATAGCTCTGTTTGGCTGAAAAAGTGAAAATATCAAAACAAACCAAAGTCCATACCTCGTATCCAAATGTTATGGCCATAATAGTAATAAGCAAACCAAAAAAGGCCTCCAGCCTCCTCAAGCCTGCAGAAAAACACACAGAAAGACTAAATTTACTCTTCTTGTCTGCTGTGTGAAGTGTGTTTCAGAGTCTGAAGACGTTGTGGGACGTACCGTACTTATCCAGGAAGAGGAAGAAGAAGGTGTCGATAATGGTGATGAGCACACCGGCCCAGAGGGGGATCCTGTCATCAAAACACACACAGCAATTGAAGAAGCTCAATTTTTATGTTTTAGCACCAAACGACCTGTGATTCTGGATACCAAACGGCCTCGAAGCGGCATCAGCTTCTGGCCAGAGACCCCCTTTGGAAGCCGACAGTCAATGCTACAAATGATGTAATGAGAAACATTGAATTTTACATTCTTCCCCTCATTTTATTACATTCCTTTAACATAAATGCTGCCTCATTTCTTCTGATTTTAGTTGGGATAAGAAATTTCCACCACAATCTTCTCTTTTCATTAGAAAATAAGTAATTTTTTTATATTAATCCCATCAAATGTTATTTAACCTCATTTTATGCTTCCTATGCCAGCCTGAGGAGCAAAGCAACTTGATAAATTTGACTGGCAGCAAATCAGAAAATGAGAATATGAATAACTTTTTTCTAAATTTCCCTTGAGTGGGACAATATACAGTATTTCTATTTTCCATTTCCATTTTCAGAAAGTTATTTTAACTTAGGTTTTAAAATAAATGCTGAAAAAACAGATTCCCAAATCCCAAAAATTGGATGTGTAAATATGTATAACAACAGATGAGACAATTGGGGTAGGATTTAATAAGCTTTGTCTTCTTCATACTCATTTCTGGACTGGATAAGAAAGTTTTGTTTTTGTTTTTATGTTTAATTATTATCATGATGCATGTATTTTTTTTTTGTTTTCTTATTTTTTCTATCGCATTTTAGTTGTTCAAAATAAATAAAGACTTCATTTCTTTTCTTAAAAAATAAATAAATGTATGACATAAAGATTAATTTTTCTCCCTTCTGGCGCCCTCTGGCCGCCCCACTTTGAAAAACACTGCCACACCTGTGATTGGACAGCAGGTTGAAGGCGATGGCGCAGCCGATGACCTCCTGCATGTCGGAGCCGATGATCGCCAGCTCCACCATCAACCACAGCAGGATTCTGGGCACCTTCATGGAAAACATGGAGAAGTCAGCAAGTGCACTTGAATTCTGCATCGCAGGCAGAAAATATGAAGGAAACAATCATATTCATGATTTAGAACGGCCCAGTCAAAGTCCAAACCTAAATCCAGCCCAGAACATGTGGCAAACCTCATGCGATACTTCCTACGTTTGGAGCAGTCTCCAGTCCGCTTGGCATTCACACATGCATTTGAAACGCAGCAGAGTTCACTTTAAACGAACGGAGACGAGGTTTGAAGACGGACCAGAGCTACGAACTTTCTAGGCAAACGAACTGGAGTTGGACTGAAGTGGACTAAACTGGGCTGGTGTGAATGTGCCCTCAAAAAGAGTTTTACAGGTTTACTTTATTAAAAGAAATGCTACAATTTTTAGATGTCGATTGGCAAAAATTGAACAAAATTCAGTGAGTCATGTCACTCTTTCTATGAAAACACTTGCTACATTTAGCCAAGTTTAATAAATTATTTAAAAGGAGAATTGGCTGCAGCAAAGTCAGCTTTTCAATAAAAGTCACAGGACAGACGTTGAAAAACAAAGCAAAAGTCATAGTTATTTCTAAACAAATAATTGCCAACGTATTCTAGTGTAAGATTTTAATTTGATTTAAATTTTTTCACTGTGGGTGTGGTTGTCTCACCGTGGGGTACTGGCGGTTGCAGACTTCAGCCAGGTGCATCCCGGTGACGACGCCGAGCCGCGCCGCCAGCCGCTGCAGCAGCAGGCCGATGATGGTGGCCAGCAGCAACACCCAGAGGAGCTGAAGGAGGAGAAACAGCACCCAAAAATTATACTCAGGTCACAGCAGCTCTACTTCAACATGACTTTACTTTATACTTATAAGACTAAATAACCAAACAAATTTTCTGTTTTTGCATTTAGAAATTTACATTTTAACCAAATAGTGTCAACTTTCACGTGTTTTCTAAAGGAAGGCACTGTTAATTGTTTTTCATCTGTTTTATTAGAAGTAAAAACTTTGAATTTTGTTTTCTGTTACCTTAAATCCAGCTTTAGCTCCTGACTGCAGGTCAGACTCGATGTTTCCCGGGTCCAGATAGGCAATGCTCATCAGAAACCCGGGCCCGGTGAAGGCCCAGAGTTTACGCAGACTGAACAGTCTCTGTAGGAGAAATACAAGCCGTGAAGTTTAAAAAGTTTTAAATTAAGTAAGCGGGTTGGTTTAGGTTACCTCAGTGTCCTCATCAGGAACAGGGACTCTCTGCTCAAAGTACGTGGCGGGAGCCGGTTCATTGCTGCGGTTCTGCAGGAAAACCGAAGGCGCGGACGATCCCCGGTGAGTGTATGTGGTCTGGATGACGGCTTTCTCCTGGTTTTTAACAGAGTCCTCTGCGGAAACATCAACGCGTTCATCAGAAAATGTATTTAAATGTTAACAGTTTGTTAAAATGCTAAAACTGACGTGTTATTGAAAACTGATAAGTTATTTAAAAAACGGGCTGCTACGATGCTTCAACTACTTCCTGTCTTCTTCTTCTTTGTGGTTCCGCCTGTGGCAACATCCGGTTGCTGATCATGTGACTCGTGTGATGCGAAAACAGTTTTTCCATTTCAGTTTTGCCTTTTAGCCAATAACATTTTCATTTTCTCACTGAAAAAGGAATTAAATTTATTCTTTATATTGACATTTTACTGTATACCTAATATTGTAAGAAAGGCTTAAATGTGACAAATCAGTAGAATGTGTTGATGTTCTTTATTCGATTAATCATCAGAACAAACGGTTACTACAATAATTGTTAGTTGCAGTCTTTATATAAGCAAGTAAAACTTTGTTTATAAAGCAAATTTTAAATTCCAGAGTCTGAGAACTTTGCGTAAATGCCAACAGCTTGCGTCAATATGTGGAAATGATGCGTCTTAATCATAAATTGAGGATTTGCATTGCTTAAAAGAGAAGATAATCACCTTGTTGGCCTGGCGGATCTGGTTCTGGATCCAGGGGAATGCTGGGCGGCAGAGAGGAGATGTGGATGTTCTCAGCCGGGGGATTTCTACCTGGAAGCAACCCGGTAATTAAACTGGATTTAAATCCAAGAATAAAAATCACTGCACACACAAAACGAAACCCTACACAAACACGGAGCCGTGAGAAAACACTTTTCATCTCAACTGTTCAGTCGGGGAGAAAAATATTATTATTTCACCAAAACAACTATAATTTATTTTTATTCCATATTTTTACTTTTCACCAGAATAAAAACTATTTTTTAACTTTATGCATCTATATAATTCATTCATGTTTTACTAAGGAATAGTGTTGCTCCAAAAATCATGTTGTTTAAATGTATGTAGCCTTTAATTATTGAGATTAAAAATCTCTTTTCAAGAGAGACATGTCTATTAATGCAACATGGTTTGTTGAATTTTGCATTTGCAAAATAAATAAAAAGTCTACATGGAAATATGCAGAATATGGCAAATTAGTCAGTTTATTCATTAGTGTATACATTTTTTTACACCTGTCGCAATTACCTAAAAATGGTCTCAAAACAACAATATTATCATTTATGGCGATAACTTCTGGGACAATTTATCATCCAGCAAAAGTTATCTGTGACAGGCCTATTGATGCTGCTGCTCTGTGATTGTTTTGTATGTTTTCATGCCCAGCACTTATTTTTAATGTGGGACATTTTGGTCTCATTTAAGTGACAATGTCTCTGGAAGCAGGGACTTGTGTGTTTCTGCTTTTACAAGCCAGCAAGAAACAATTTAAGGAATTTAAAGAAACTCCATGTTTAAAGGACAAAGGAACTGAGTCTGAACTGGGCAAACAAGATCTCTAATCCCTCAGAGAGAACTGCCTCAAAACATGAACCACATGGAGTATGAATTAGTTGGGTCATCTAAATATTTAGTTTGCTAGATACGTAGCTATCTCAGAGTGTAGCTAAATAACTAGCTAACTAAATATTTAGCTAGCTCAGAGCTAAATATTTACCTTGCTGATAAAATACTACTCTCACCATTCTCTACAGAAATGCTGAAATTAATTCAAACTCGAGGGTTTTTGAGAATTGACGGTTGGTTTGAAGCCAGATTTTAATCTGGACTTTGACTTGGCAATCCAAAAACATAATTTTCTTTACCAATTCAGAGTGAACTTGACAGGAAGTACGGAATGCTGCAAACTCTGAGAAGTACTCCAGACCACCAGGGGGAGTCTGGAGAAGGTAATATTACCTGTGTAATCGGACTGTAAGTTTGCAAAGTACATGAATCATGACGCAGATTTTCTTTCTTCATTCAACTTTCTTTTTGACTTCCCACTATATATCATTCGATCTTTCCTGAGTGTCTCTTTCCATTTGATTTGCTCCACTCCCCCTACTGGTCTGTAGCACTTTGGAGAAATATTTGGATGTTTAAGTACGCTTTATGATCTAAAACATTCAGCAAATATATTTATATTATAATTACACATAGTTATTTGGAGTTTTGTGTTTTGACATTATCACCTGTTGGTCACCACAGTCTGATTTAAGAAAACTGACCAGTTTCAGATTTTTATTTATTGATTTTAGATTTAAAAGGGGAAAAAAGATGCCAAATTTACAAGAAAAACAGCTTGCATTTTATTTTTAATAAAGTTAAATAAACCACTTGTTTCCAATGGCAACATTTGACTATTATTATCTGAATTAAACAGATTCATTCAATTTTAGATATAAGCTGATATCTAAAATTCATATAAGAAACATGTTTTAAAATAGCACAAGTTGTAATTGCATTGGAACTAGACACAAACACTTAACGTCAAGGAGTGAACGTCACACTTTAAACTCTAAAATATAACTCCTTAAATTTAACAGATGGACATTTTCTAACGGGAATCCAACATCTCTGATCATTTATTAATACATTTATACTTCAATAATATCAATTTCTATTACTCTGTTATGTGGGTGTTTATGACTTAAAACCTTTCTGTTGCTTCATGGAGCCATAAAAACACATTTTCTGCACCGGACAGCGAACCGGAGACAATTTAAAAACATTATTACAGGAAACAAGCATGAACTTCGTCACAATCATTATCTATTCCTGTGATAAACGTCTAAAAATAAACTAATGACAGGAAGAAACTCGCCTCGGAAGTTTTCCCGTAAAGCAGAGAAATGTCTGCTCAGTTAAAATCGGGTTGAGTTAAAACTCACCTGAGCGCAGGAAGGAGAACATCTTGAGCTGCGCAAAGTTGCTAACTGGCCATGAGTAGAACCGAGCCGGGAAGCTTCCTCCGGTGAAATGATCGACTCTCTGCCTCGGTGTTCCTCCACGCCTCCCGGTTGTGTCAGAGTCTGCGCGGCGCAGGTAGAGCAGCAGTTTGCTGAACTCACCTGACATGTTAAGGAAGGAGGAAATGCCGGAGGGCAAAGGTAAACCGGACGGCCAAACTCTGCGCCAGTTTCTCCTGATTCCTGCCTGTGACCCAGTTTATACTCTGGGCTGATCCTGGATCAGCAAGAGAGAAGATTAACTAAAATAAAAAATAAAAAACTTTTGAAATTGATTTAAAAAAAATCACAATTAAGCTTAAAGAAATAGATTCCGACTTATTGCACATGATTATAGTTGTTTTTCAAGTTAATTTCCATCTGCATGAAAAAAGTTTTTACTCCTTGACAAAAGTATTCAAACCTACGACGTATTACGGCCCATTGTAAATAAATAAATAAATAAATGAGGACATTTCCGCCAGAAAAATCTCAGAAAGTTTCAAAAGCAGAAAAGCTGCTTGAAAGAAATTTTGATCTTAAGATTTTTTGAAAAATCTTAAGATTAATCTCAGAAGTTTTTCTTGAAAAAAAAATTTCAACAGTTTTTTGAACAGTCAAATAATAGAGGCTCCTTCCTCTCAAGGCTCCTTCCTCTCTAAGCTGTGCTCCGCCACCAGTGTCTGGGTCCGGGTGAAGACTACCCTGAGCCGATCATCCAAGCTCGCAGCGATTCTCAGCTTGCACATCTTCTGCCGGTGCCAAATTCTCGGTCCAATAAACCGTCTAACTGCTGTTTTCTCTCTCGTCTCTACAGATTTAAATTTTCTTGAAAAAAATATTTTTTTGACATTAATCTAAGAAATCAAAACAAAACCACTTTAATCAAGAGTGGAAAATTTTTGTATTTCTAAAATATGCCTCAATAACTAAAGGTAAGTCTGATCAAACTAAAGTTTTTTTTCCAGAGCAAGTGGGTTTAAAAGAAA